CGAGTGTATGCCGCGACAGTTCGGCCAGTTCTGCTATACGGTGCAGAAACTTGACCATTAAGAAAACAGGATAAAGATAGACTGTCAATGTTCTAACACCACTGTCCACGTCGCGTTGCACGAGTCTGATGGGGTAACCGAACGAGCAATGCTGAGGTTAGGAGAAGAGTTTTGGGTAAATGCGGTCGCCCACTGGAGCAAGTGGTCGACATGGGGACATGTGTTACGCAGATCACCAAGTTACCGCTTTGTGCGGTGTTTGCCGAGGCCGGTAGTGGGTGGAATAAAGCCAAGCTGTCAAAAAGACCTGGCATGAGGATATGCAAGCTCTAACCTGCAGACTGAGTTACGTAGGCCCCGGTAGTCTTTCCGGTTGGGACCTTGGGATGATCGCACTCGATGGTTAGAGGCACTGAGTGAAATGGCTGAGTGTCGTAAACAATGGTGCTCGTGCGTCTAATCCTTGTTCTGGTAGCCCTTGGATTTATGAATCATCTTCCCCTTGAATTTTCCCTCAGTACTCCTCTCCACATTCCGCTCTTTTATCTGAATGGCCGTCCAAAAGACAGCAACCAAAACCGGCCCTCGAAAATGCGTGGATCATGATTGTAAAAATTGAAACTGAAAGAATTTCTTTGCAACCTTGGTCCACCGAAATTTTCCATTTTCTCTTCCACTGTACTTTCAACGTTCCTGCTTTTCTTCTACTGTTGATTGGAATGGACAGCCAACAAGCAGCAACCAAAACCGGTGCACAAAAGTCCGTAATGGTTGTACAAACTGAACTGAACTGAAAAGGTTTTTTAATACACATCGGAATGTGCTCTGCACGACTGAAAGCGAATCAAGTGATATGGTAGTATTTTTTGATGTGTGCGTAAGATGAGCATGGTACAGTCTAATCGTCCGTATTCTGAAAGGTAACATGAAAGGAGCAGTACCCGCATTTCCGGCGTTTATTGCCTTGCAAATAAAGAAGAACCTAATTAGATGTCCAACTGACAGGTCTCGGTGAATTTGCATAGAAGACTATAGAATAAGAACTTGCATTTGTATGCAAAATGTTTTCCTAAACAGTAACCCAGATCATTTTATTGACGTGTAGATGATGAAAGGAAAAGGTGCAACAAAAAATAGCAAAGATAAATTCCATCTACATATCACTTCGGTTCAAAGGCGGCGTAGCGGTTGATGTTTCACAAAGACTGCTAGCAAGTGCCGTGGATAAGACGTTCTGTGCAAGGCAGCTGCACTTTTTGTTAAAATCTAAACTAGCAGCCTGTGTACTGTTCTCCAAACTTAATTTGTGCGTACTCATTCCCATATTCTTGTCGGTTTACTTAAATTAGTCGAACTAGACAACTGCCTGGTTGCATCAGCAAACGCGACCCAGCATTGTTGAAATCTTGAGCTAGCAAGTCGATCTCAGACTGCTGTCGCATCAGGTGGAGCCAAATTATGATATAAATGCGGCTAAGGTATTCTAAACCCTGTGCAGGGTACGCGGTTTACATTAAGCGCTAATCAAGTTTCGCATTCGCGCAACAGCGGAGGTGTTGAGCGTCCATTTTCACACATTAAAAAGTAATTCGAGAGGTCAAGAAAACCGAACTTACTCGCCAATTTGTGTTGTTCTTGAAATGTGTTTGTTCTGCGTTTTTAAAAATACCGTAGCAGTGCATATGCACAACAAACTATGTAAAAGCTACTTGAATTAGGTGCTGGTGCATTCCGGTACTTTTCCTTCTTAAAAGCTTGAATATTCCCATTTCCTTCTCATAAAAATCCGTCGCTCCAATGTATGTATCGAAAGCGAAGCAGCCAAGATGTGACTTCTTATTGTCACACACACACACGCACACACATATATATATGTATATATAGATTCTGGCGATGCAAGGAAGATAAAGGTTGTCAAAGACAATCTCCGTATGTCTTCTGCGTGGAGGGGCCGACTCTCGCAGCCATAAAGTAAGTGCTTATTGGGAAAAGAGCACCCGAAACTGAGTGACGGACAATGCTAACTTATACAGAACGTTTTGAGCCTCACGGGAAGAGTCGCAGAGTATAACAATGCTGTCAGCATATTCCAGGTTACAGAGTCGATCACCTGGGTGAAGATCCACACCGGAACTACTACAGTTTCCTAGAACACTGCTTAGGATTTTGCCTATTGCTAACTTAAAGAGGAAGGGTGAAGCCAGGCATGCGATCATAAACCTTCACGCGACCTGATGTTTTTGATTAGACGGTTTTGAGAAGGTGTACATACTTCTCAGGCGCACCGCTTCCTAACAAGTTCAGAGATCAACTCTGTCAGCTAAGTCAAACGCAGCACGTATGTACAAAAAGACAACGATGGTTGATCTCCTGAACGTTTAACGTTTTTTTATTACACACCTAACTGTGATGGACAACAGGCGGGGTAAACCCCATAATCACGGCTGTTCAGTGGTGCAAACCGGCAACCTAAGCCCCGGGACTTGGAGTGGAGAACCACATAAGGCCCCGNTAGGGAGATAAGACTAATCCTTCGGTGATTGGAGCAATCGTGGCGGGGGCCCTTCGTAAAAACAGATACGACGTCCGTCAAACGTCATTCGGTGGAGTGGATTCAGTAATTCAAATAGTTTGGAATAAGAAAGTTAGTTCTCGGACAAAGCTTGCACCATCGTCTTTGAAAAGAGCCGGAGGGAACTCATCCGGACCGGGCGATTTGTGGCGTTTCAGTAGTGTGAGCTCTCGGGAAACTTTTTGGGTAGGTGATAAAATGTCCACTGGTCATGAAGCACTGCGTATATCAGGAGATGCTGGTGATACCGATGACCAACTATATTGTTCTTGGAGGTGCTCTTCCCAGCGACCAAACCAATATCGTAGACCATGAAAACATTCGCCATCGGTTTCGCATATGGTTTCACCGACGCATGGTTTTTTGTTACCGATGGCTCGGATTAGTCGAAAATGTTTGTTAACATTACCGGAAGCAGAAGCTAGTTCCATCTNNNNATCTCGGAAGCGCGTAGTGCCCATCATGTTTTTCGGTCCTCTTTTGGAACCGTTTCAGTTCCGCACTGATATTCCTGCAAACTGTGTTGTATGCATTAGCTAGAGGAATGCTTCGACGAGTATCAAGCAGCAGCAATCCAGTCTTTGACGGTGCGTTTGGTGAAGCCACATTCTGTCCTGTGAGACTTATGCATGGCTTTATGGATGTGAGCCCACTGACTATCAACGTTCGAGGATGATAGACTGCCTAGATCAGCACCTAACCTGTTTTGGTAGGCGGTCACTAGGTTTGGGTCGGTCAGTTTCATCAAATCGAGTCTTCTCGGCATCTGCGATCGGATCTCCGGGGCTGCGGAGGGTGAACGATGAAACGAGTTGCAGTACGGTGCTCGAATCTTGTAGGCGTGTCTCGGTAAGGCAGCACATGTCCATGACAGGCTGTTCCAGTCCGAGTGTTGCCTGAGCCCCAACTTGCATAGGCGTTCGAACGTTGAGAGTAGCTACCTTCAGTTGCGACCGGAGCGCCAGTACGTTTTTCTGAACGACCTGAGCGGGTGCTTGTTTCTTTCACATGTGCGCAAGACTGTGTTTTTTCTGTTATTTTGGGCAACACAAGGTTGAGACTCGAAATAGTAGGTCGTTCACCAAGAATAGGAAAGTTCAATAATTGTGGAAGGTAAGAATGTGATCTGTTGGTGCGGTAATGTGGAAATCCGTGGAACCGACCGCTAATACCCCGATCAAGGATTGCATAGTTTGTGAGAGCGGAATTCGAAAATCTATATGATGTGTGTCCATAGGTTGTGGGTATTTTAGTTCCCCTGACCGAAGAAAGGGGATAACCTCCGGGTCCCCACCTGAAACCTTTGGCTAGAAAGCCATACTTGCAAGACAGCACGAGTTCAGAGTCCGCAGTTCATTGGGGCCCGGTGTCCAGTTCACCAGATCATGCACATTTCGAATGGATGCCCAATACACCCCCACACCCAATTGAGCCCGCGACAACCACTACCACCGGAAAGGTGTGGGTCGATCATGCGCTTTTTCTTGGTTAGTTTGGAATCAGAGTTTTAACGATTTCCCCTGTTCCAGTTTCAGTTTTTACAACCATTAACCATGCACTTTCGTGCTCCGGTTTTGGTTACTGCCTTTTGGTACCCCATTTGGATAAAAGCAGCAGGATGAAGATAGGAATGTTAAAAGCAAATTCAAGCGAAAGATGGAGAATTCATATAGAATGGTGTTAGGGGAATAATGAGGATGCACGAGCGCCACTGTTTGCGACATCCAACCATATCACTCAGTGTCTCTAATCATCAGTGACCATCATCCCGAGGTCCTCAGCCAGGGAGCCTAACGGGACCTATGTGACCCAGACTCCTGGTTAGCGTTTTCACACCCTCATGCCAGGTCTTCGTTTGACCACCCTTGACCTTTTTCCAACCGCTACCTGCCTCGGCAAACATGGCTCGCCGTGGCAACGTGTTTGGTGACATGTGTAACACATGTCCCAACCAACGTAATCTATGGAGGTCGAACATTTGTTCCAGTGGACGACCGCGACTGCCTAAAACTCTTCTCCTAACCCCAGCATTTCTCGTTCGGTTACCCCACCAGACTCGTGCAATGCGACGAGTCTGGTGAGTGAGTGAACTGTCAGTGGTTCATCGCCCCAGATTTTGACTTTTCGTTCTCGCAATTTGGTTGGAAAACACTTTCGCCACGGGAAGGTAGTGAGTAGAGCTTCCTTAGCAGAGACTGTTTGAGACGCTTGGTCATAGGAGCATTTCATGAGGTGCAAGGGAAGGGTGACCAGCCACAACCCAAGGCACCCACCCCCGACCATACTGAGACTTTCGGAGGTTATCTTTTTACCCGAACTGCAGCTGTCACCGTGGTGAACACGCGGAAACTTGGTTTGATTTTGTAATGGAAGACCCAGGACATCTTGGTCGGCGCTGCATATACGACACTCATCGGCACTAGGCAGACTAGGTCGCTCCGTACGCGTAGCTTACTGCGAAACATCAAGAGACAGCAGCTGCAATTCTACGTATAGAATGCATGCCTATATTCTTTCTGCAGTTGACCGCTCACGATCATTTACGCTGCGTGCAGCTAAACGGAACGCATGACGAAAGCAATTAATATCTCTTTGCATTTTGTCCTGTCGCCACTCTCAGTTTCTCTCTGGTCTCGCTGAAGCTACGTATTACCATGATCTGAGTTGTCTTATTAGTTTCACGGACAATAAGGAAGCTCCGTAAACGTAATCTGGTCAATTGTTAGATTATAGGAAATAATCGTTTTTGTCTGCTACTCATTCAGAATATGTACATATGATCTCTTCCAATATTTTATTCATAACGTATACAGTTGGTTGGCTGACCTCTCTGTAAACATTTCGATCGTATTTATGGAAGCTCCGGGAAAATTCGTTATCGCTTATCTGTTTTTCAGTCCCATTCGAGGAAATTGTGGAAGAAATCGCGGGCTATTTCACAGAGTCTTTTGGCAATTCAACTCGTATCGATTATGGAACAGGGCATGAGTTGGCCTTTGTTGCCTTTCTGGCGTGCCTGTTCAAATGCGGTATTTTGCATGCGCCCAATCCGGGCTCACCGAACGATTACATCGGTGTCGGTTTGGTAATCATGCCCACCTATTTGGAGCTGGTGCGGCGATTACAACTATATTATCGGATGGAACCGGCCGGTTCACACGGCGTGTGGTGTTTGGACGACTTTCAATTTGTTCCCTTCATATGGGGCAGTAGTCAACTAATCGGTCGGTTTCATAATTCAACTAATCGGACTTGCATTTATTGATTTTATTGTGATACATACTTTCGTGCAGCGTTGACCGCACCACTCCTGGATTTTGTCGACCGTGAAGGTCGATGAATTTTTGTTCATTCTGTAGATGCGGTGAAACTTACATTGACAGGGCAATCTCGAGACTGTTATATCTTAGCCTCAACTGGCCCGCAAGATTGATTTAGCACAACGTTCTCCGTTCATCTTAACTGAAATCCAGTCTCATAGATTGCGTAACTTCTAATCTCAACGATGCACATTGTAGTCCGGATTTTATCGTTCCAACGGTTTGCTATCCAATCGCCATCCGATGCTTTTGCCATTAAGAAGAGCTTTGCATGCATCTATTCACATGGTCCAGTTGTCTGCATCTCGAAATTATCGGCCGATGAAAAGACTGCTACAGTTTTCTTTTGCTTTCATCCTCCTCTCCCTGATATTCATTTACCGCAATCATAAACATTTAATATAAATTTTAGATTGTCTTATGTAAACCATTGAAAAGAAAGTGAAATGATGACACTTCGCTGAACCATTGGATATCGGCTACTCGGTGATTACAGTCCATAAAGAGAGGCTATTAGTTGTATCGTTTGAATATAATTAGTTAATTTATTTCTACTATCCTGTTTTTCTTTATTTCTCTTTCTCATGTTTCCTCGTCCACGCGTCGATTTTCACTGTTCTATCCGATTCGTTTTAATTAGTACATACTCATCATTTTAGGAGTCTTTTATTTGACTGATTACTTTCTTCAGGTCACGGACAATACGGACCATCTTCCATTCCGGACCGCCACACCGCTACCGATGAGAAAGATCGGTACCTCCTTTTCTCATGTATTGATTACATATATCAGGTAACTTGGACAACCATGTGCCAGTTCGTTATTCGTTTGATTCAGATTCTCTGTCTGTGTCATCCATGTGAATGATTTTGTTTTAGCAGGGATTCCACGTGAAAATGTTTCCTCAATATATTATTTGAATCAGTTGTTATTCAACCATCTTACTCATTGTGCCATTTTTTCTTTTAATCAATTTCGAGTGACAAATTGTACTTTGTAGTTTCTGCAATCCTTCCTGATGAACTCTGTATGGATTATTCTCCCACTTTTTTGTACCGGATTGGCATCTGGCGGTTGAGTGACACAGAAAACCTCCCTCGATTTCATGCAAGGAGAGAGAGGGGGAGTTGAAGTTACGTGAGGACGCAATTTCCAAGATACAATTGATTTAACATTTGCAAAACAGCCCGTCAAAAGGCAAGTGTCTTCAAGCAACTACGTCTACAAAATACGATGGTGTACGTGGACAACGCATTTCAAAGGGAAAGAACATCCGATACCGAGGGTTGTCATGACTTTACTCAGGTAGTCCTCGTACCCTGAAGAAGTCGTTGTTGTTGGCATGCAGACTAACCTGAGTGAACATGAAAATAGGCGCCCCATAACAGTTTGGGGATTGAGGTCAGGTTAGGCGTGGCCTATTGCACTTTATCTAGGCTCGTGTTGGCAAATCAGATCACACGATCTAGTAATGGGTCAAAGGTCATCGGGTAACTTGGCCGTTACCAGTGTGAATCAATCAGCGGAAGTTAAAAACTTTTGCACATCCATTCGGTTTGTGTAATTCCAATAAAAAAGTATTGCGTCATCTGACTAGAGGCGTATTATAAAAACGTGGACTGTCCATCCTTTTCCCAGTGGGGACATGATTATCATTAGGATTTTATCTGGTAAGCAAGGTGAATTTTTTCATTTTCAGGCTCTCTATCGAGTTTCAGCACACAGTGTCGGGTATACATACGTTCATGCGTTGTGTTTGATCGGACACTGATGGTCAAAGAGTGATACTTTACAACCGTTCAATTCGATCCTGTCGCAGTTCATTAAAAAACAGCGATTAATGAATCCGCTGTGAAAGCTTATAAACTTGCTCCGAACTTCGGTCCAACTAAATGCGTTAATAAATAATATGATAAATCCATCATTGCGTTCCTTTTATTTGTTGTTAATGTTACATTTCTCCTCGAACAAGTCATGTTACGTAGGATAAAGCGATAAATTTGTCTTCTTTTCCAACCATGGAAACTTTTATTCTGTTCAAGTTCATCGTGAGTCAATTTTTTGTTACGGTGTATGACTTGGAGCCTTCTCAATCTTATCTCTTTAAGCTGCATTGAATGGCTTCGTCACTAATTTTTTTCGGGCTCACGTGGAGTACTGAAAGTTTTTCAAGGCTAGTATGGACTTTTTGCTGCTAGATTTAATCGGGTTAAATGTAATTCAAGCGAATATAATAAAGCTGTTCTTAGGCTGAGTTTTTCCCTGATTTTCGATTTCTCTTCCAGTGCACCGTAAAAATAGTGTGCCACTGTATAGCGTAAAGTAGCTAGCTAATGTTCACAAAACAAAAGTGGCGGACGGATCATTTACCTCTACCGATTCATCGGGCTAATGTTTTGCCAAAAATTCACAATTAGATGAGCTAAAAATAACCGAACTTTGCATGTTAATTTTCGGTATTCACCTTTTGTGTCGAACCTCTTAAATACTTCCCTTGTTCTATAACCGCCGAATTCCACTCATTACTCAAATCCAGTTCCCTGCTACATCCAAATCTCTGATATGTGGCTGCCCTCGGTCAACAAAATAGGTACTACATTTTTTAAACAGTGCGATCTTTTATCCGCACAGCTACAATAGCTATACGTCCAATGGTAATGTGATAAAAAGGTATATTCGTGGATATTCTCTTCATGAAAGATATTTTGTGACCTAACCGATGAGACAAGATACTCCGGAAAGTAAATCATCGTATTTAGATGACTGATACATTTAGACTAACCATGGTATATATCATGTAAGAGTCATCAGTCGAATTTCGATTATGCCCGTCACATGTGTCTTCGGAGTGATCGATAAACCAAACAACATTAGAATACTGGTAACCCTCGAGCTAAATCACAATGACCACTGATCCTGATTAATGAGTTGCTAAGTGGCACACTGCCTCAAGACGTACTTTTTAGGTATGGTTGGATAAATCAAACTCACTTCATCTGGACGCTGTCTTGTGGTTTCCACGCTTGGTTTGTGCGTTGATATATTCACAGTCACTGACATGAAAAAAATAAGCCAGTGTCTATTAGCTCCCTTTAATGCATGTTGAAAAGAGCAATCGAAGTTGCTCCCGTAGCTTGGGGGCACAACCAAAGCGATTGACTAGTCTGTACTTTCCCACTTCCTTTACCCTTTCAACCTGCCTCAGTCATGAACAGAGTTGCATGACTGGGTTACATGTCCCCACTTGTTTCAACCAGTTGCTCATAGCGTGAGGTGTATCGTTGTACGTGAATGTGGTTATTATGCTATACTTAATGCGAACTCTGCAGGTACTGTAATGAGCGACTGAATGAACCGTGGTTTCTGGAATACACCCATGAGTGTATGAGGATACCCCGAACGTCAAGCACATTTGATGGGGTGCTTTCGGAACACCGAAGTTTTTCATTCAATCAATGCAATCCACGAAGGTAGATATCAGCAGGTACATGTACATTGATAAACTGGTTGCAACACTCTAGAATCATTAAGAGGCATAAAGACAATCTTCATCTGTGAAAACCTAATAACGACCTCATGTGGTGGTAAATTATCTATAAACAGTGGAACATCTAGCTCCTGTGAAGATATCTCCTTGGTTAAAATCTGCTAGACCATTCTCACTCTTTTTTTCTAAACAGAAAGTTAACTGAAACTGACGTTCACGATCTATTCATATGCTTGCTGTGGTCGGCCGTAATCATCAGTTAGTCCTCAGAATTCTTATTGCTGAAATACCTGGGCATCGTAGTTTATTTGATGATTTCAGTCAGAATAACCGTCTGTTTCAATGCATCACGGTCGCTTTACGAGTACTCTGTACAAGGCATTTGTTTAGTCTATCCGGCATTCTAAATGGTACAAGTGGCTTCATCGATTCACGTGTGGACTGATATTTGTGCGCTGTGCGCGTAAGGAGATACTTGTCCAATTCCTGAATGACCGAATTTTGACAGTATGTTGTCTCAACCAGTATGTCGAGAATTGCAATGTTTATCTTTAAAATACACAAAGTTCGACGCTAATCAGAAGAATAAGGGTCCCTCTGAGAATCGCTTATTGTTTGCTTCCATTAGGAAATATTTCCCTAATGGTTTAAACGGAGCATCAATACCAGATGTGTGATTTGTCAATGTAAGGGATCTCTTCCAATGCACATAAACCGATTAGCAGAATTAATCATTTCTGCATCAACTTAATTCACTGTTATCTTCATCACTATATTTCCAATCTGCAAACACGAAAAATCCCTAATTCCTTTCATTTTTGCACTAGGTTAAAACAGGGCCGTTTGAGGAACATTCAAACACGTTATACGGTATCGCACAAGTTCCATATTGGGAGAAAGTTCATTCCGGATTGATAAAAATGTACAAAGGCGAGGTAAGTATGCAGTGATGGATGAAGGGGGTGGGGGTGTTGAACTTGGCTGTTAGGCCGATTGATCAGAAGTATTCCGGTTCCGTTCGCCCGCCTACTGTTTCAGCGTTTGAAGGCTAGGACTGTTTGGCCTCACTTTCAGACACAATCCTCATCCGTACAGCTAACTCAACACTCAGGAAGCTCAAAACTCGAGTTTCACTCCGGTTAGAGCTCATCAGTAGTACATATTCAAGTAACCTTTCGTGCGTGGAACGCATCTGTTTCACTACGTAGTCATTTTGTCCATCACGACTAGACTGCACCTTGACGTGTTGTAATGGTTTGTGCACCTCTCTGACCCAACGAGCTACACAGGATGACTTTTGTCAAGCCGAAGATCTAATCATGCCTGGAAGGTCGAAGGGTAGAGGTCGCACGAAGTTCAATCTCCTGGTCCTCCAGGTTGAGGGTTCGACTAGAATTTGCGTTTCAGTCGCTAAAAAATGGTGGAAGAGTAATCGATCCAAGTAAAATGGGTTTCCACTTGGCTTCACCCACTTGCAGCTAGGTTCTTGTCAGAACTAAAGGCTTTGGTTGAGAGCCCTTCTCCTGCTTAGTGGCTGGACACCCTAGTGGTATTATTATCTCGCTGTAGGATGATTATGATGATGACCCTAGCATTACCCATCCACCAAACCCCAATGCATATACATTGCGAATTTGGCAGCGATCAGTGAAGTTCGCTTTCCCGTATTTCGCCGTTCGATGACGATGATGATTGTACTCTTCATTTGCGCTCAATCCTGACCGATCACTTATCTGATTCCTATCTGTGGCGTCAGTACATGGTATTATACATCCACACGGCTAAATCGTCGGCATTCGGTCTGTCGTCTTTTGCTGAGGCGATTCTTCGGCACTGGAAAACCGGCGATTGTGGATTGCACTAATGCACTGAAGTAAACCGAATTTCTTGAGTAAATCTGTTTTCGTCGTTGCTCCAGTATGTTCATTTTCCGAAAGCCCATCATGTTATTCTTCCAGGAAAAATGTTGATAAGTCTATATGATAATTTTTCACGAGTACTCTTTTCTCAGATTGAAACTGTCCATGACTTCACTTTACTTTTAACAACGCCGTTTGGACCGGTGAGCATCAGTCAGTGCAATGCAGTTCACCTGACTCCGATCGGTATCTGGTCTGCCAGTTTCTGTGGCAGATATAGCCCCACCTCAGACACTACGTGTGGATAAATTCACAAAAACTGAAAAAGAACATGTTTAGTTAATATCGTCAGGTACCTATCTGTTTAGCTTAGGGATAAAAGTGTTAGATCCCAAGCGAAAAGATTCGCAGTTTGAATAACGGGAGGAAAATGGTAAGATTATGCATTACTGATGAATCAAGGACGAATTCATTGTGCTGTACTGTTTTTTAGTCATTACAGATTCTGGATACTGTTTGAAAATGTTTCACTGGTAAAAAAATCTCATTGCAGTACTGAGCTTGGCACGTGTTATCTAATGTTTGTGAGGAAAATTAGTATTATCATTTAGATGAAAGCCACAATTTTTTTACTGTTCAGCTGCCTTGTTGATTCTTCAAAATGGTTATCTTGACTTAGTAAGCCCTGTTCATTCGCTTACATCCTGTGTTTTGCGATCAGGTATTGGGCAAGTTTCCGGTTGTTCAGCATTTTCTCTTCGGTCAGTTATTAACAATGGATCGTGCATCTGGCCCGGGTCTTTCATTCGGTCCTCCTGGGTCTGGCACTCCCGGTCAAATGCCTCCTCCATCAATGATTCCACCATGTGGCGCGGCACGTGCCACGATGTCCACTGCACCCCCAACTTCGGACAAACCCATCTCTTGCCCCACGGCGGGCGATATGAAACCGGCAGTTCCGTCGGAGCCAAATACTTGAATTTTGGTTACATTCTCACCCAAGTCGAGGGAATCGACATTATTTTACCCTCTTTGGTTGCTTTTCTTCCGGGATTTCGAGTTGTTCTATCGATGCATAATAAACAACTCGGCAATCAAGCACAATGATGAATCTTTCAGTTCCAACGAAATTCGAATCTACTGACATTGTTTTTTGTTGGAATGAATTGCTTCATTGTAATTTATCTGGAGCTCAAATTATTGGATTTAAATGCTTTAAAACCGTCGTTAGATTTGGTTGTCTACCAGTATTGCGTAACGAGCGAATT